GTACCTAGTTTTTGGAAAAATTAACCGGAGACCTAGTTTTGGGCTCGTATTCGGTTATTCGAATAATTTATTCGGTTTCTGCCCAGGCCTAGGTTTTACAGCGCTCGCAACTGCATAAGGTCATACAAGCGCCAAATGGTGGATGTCAACAGAGAAGTCTTTGCAGAAAATCAGGCTTACTCTGCTCACCCCTCTAGTTTCAACAGCACAAAGTTTGTTGCGACTATTAAGGCACCCCGGAAATAGCGGGTCTCAAAAGTGTGACAAAATACAAAAGAAGTAGAGGAAAAATGACGATAGTAAGGATTAGGAAAGAAAAAGCAGCAGTTCCCTGTTGCAGTTCAGACACAGTGAGTTATGATCATGACATTGGTGAATCATTGCGCGGAACATATTGACTGGCCCGTGGTTCAGAAACACAATTCAAGAGACGGGGTGAGTAATTTTCTAGACCCCCGTGAACACCTGGAGACGTATAATAGGCCTACAGCTGGGGGGTGGAATCTACATACATTGAAATGCGGGGTTAGGGTAGTGTAGCTGTCTCAAAATGAGCCAGGCCGAACGGAAAGTGAGAAGAAACATGGCGAAGTTTCGTCTCGCTCAGTGCTAGCAAGACTCGAGCGGGAACCGCTCATGGTATGGTCTTTTAAACAAAAGTATAATCTGTTATATTTCCTCTCGTTCCTGCTAGGCCCCGCTCTCTCGCTTATAGGCTGCAAGCTTCAAGGCGAGAATTAAAATAAGCGTTATAATTCTTTGCTTCCCTATTGAGTATGTCAGTCGACACTGCTAATACATATGCAAGTACATTGTACATGTAACCTACATCTACATGACCGTACTCTTGTACCTCAGGAACTTGAAAGGGCAGACCACGTCACCAAGAAGTAAGAATACCCTGCAACACCGATTTGGCAACAGTTCAATTTACATTGATCGCACTGTGTTGGAAAACATGTACATGAACGGTACTTGAATTCAGAGACATAGTTTTCTATGTCTGATCAACATGGATCTACATCTCATTCACTAACGCTTAAAATAACTGTTTAAGTGGACACGGCGACGTCCCTTATTCAGATGTGTCAAATAGGTAGATAACGGGCAACAAACATTCAGTTATACATGTAATTGGTCGCTTTTAAACACAAAGGGGCTATCCCGAAAAACGCTTTTTTAAGAAAATCGAAGGTAAAGTCGTTGCCCCTTGTTCAGTTTCTTAAAAGGACAAGGAGAGTTTTCTCTATAACCAAACAAATGTACACACCAAAGAAACCAAACTTCTCCTATAGGTAGGGCAATGCCCACTTTTGGTGTAGATCTAGGTCAAGATTTCTGGAATCCCCCCCCCCCCAAAAAAAAAAAAATTGGGTTAGTCTGCTTGTCCTAATAAAAAGCGACCAATTGACACTGAGGAAAGTAACTCGTCTAGATCTATAGCAAATTATGGAATTACTATTATTTTGGGTTGTGTCCCTTTGACCACAATGCCAATGCCATTTCAATGTAGGCCTACATAATGTACTGCACAGTACAATACAGTAGGCCTTCACAATATGTGTATTATGTTAAGTCTGTGAATGTTCCTAAATAGACTTGACCTACTAGATCTAGATCTAGATACATTTCTGATCTGATCTTAGAAAAAAAAAACCCATTAATAACAATCTGTTATAATATTATTATTATGCAGATTTTTCGAGGAGCCCATGGCATGAGTGGGGATCGACCAAAGTGAATTATGAAACTAATTGTGATAGTTCCAGGCTATCCCGGCCCTGGTCTTACAAAACCACCCGGAGAACTGGTGGTGACAAGACGGGTGTTGCACCCACTACCCTCGAAGCCAAACGAACGGTTGGATTTGAATGCGTCTAGATCTAGGCCTAGCCTACAGTCTGGTCGAAAAAGTCTTTTCTCTTTGGTTTGGCTTTGCTTGCATGGCATTCAGTGTTCGGCACCTTTATTTTAGGCACCTTTCCTTGAGATTTTACGCAAAATCAAAGATAGTACAAGACAAGATGGGCCACTCAGCCAAAAAAGTGTCCGCAGGAAGTATGCTCTTTGCTTCAGATGGCGCTGCAGTCTGTTTTGAAGCTCTCTTTCGTTTTTCCAGAAGAAGAATAGAAATAGCACCTCCTTGCGTGCGCAGATCGACTGCTGTTCATCAGCGGTTCGGGTACGTTCAGTGCGGAGTCTTAGGTTTTTAAAATTTTAATGACCTCTCGCCCTTCATTCTAAAGTCAAATTAAACGAAGAAAACCATCTCCTTTTCCTCCGGAAGAGGTTTTTTGTCAGTGTAATCATTTTTAAAAAGCGTTCTTCCGAAATTTATCCCAAAACTTGCTAGTTTCACTTTGATTTTTAAAAACTCAAGTAGGGTAACTCTGTTCGCAAAGAGTGCGCTTTTGTGAAGAGGGCGCCACCAAATTTTGAGGACACTTTTTTAATTAGCTCAAAGAGAGAAGTGGCCCATCTTGTTATGTACTATCATTGGCAAAATGTAACAATCGTACAAACAAATTTGTAGGCCTGTATTATATATTTTAGATTTAGATTTTTTTTTGCTCATCAAATCACACTCCCAGAAATAAAGCTCAATTCAAGACACCTAGGAATGAAATCTTCAGATGTTCTGCATAGCAGTTCTCTTAATAATTTATTATATTATACCTTCACTGCCTTCACGATTAGCCTTGGTAAGGTAAAATCTCGGTCAGATTTGGAAATGGACTATTTGGCAATACAAGTTTTTGGGGAGCCGTCGTTGATCATAATGTAACAGGTAAAGTATTTGTACTTAATATGGATAATAGATTATGTAGAATATGCAGTAGTCTTTTCTCACTTGAAATTGCTTCTGTAAGATTTTTTTTCCTATGAAGAAAAACAATTTTTTGGCCTCTTGATAGTGTACTTTATACTGGAGCTTACCTAAGTATGCTAAAAATAGATTATTTCCTTAGCAACGCTCAGCCTGATTCAGCGGCCATATTGTTTATGGTGGCTAGTGAAACAGTGAAGGTGGAGGGCTCATCGAACATAATATTTTGACGGGAAAAATTCAGAGCTGTAGCCCGTGAGGCTGCTATATTTTGTTGGCAAGCAATATGGAACACGGAGTTGTGAGTTCCTGTTCTTGTGATTTGTGTTGCTGTTTCCTCTTTTCTTTGTAGTGGCATATCGACAATCATGATGTCAATTGCTATCAGCTTGCTGCTGATACTGATCATGACATAATTTAAATTGAATTTATTGAACATACAAGACCTAATAGATCTATATCTAAAATCAACGTCTTCAAGACTGTAGACATATCACTGGATAGATCTAGTTTTTTCTTAATCTAAAGGCACGTACGTACGGCAGATTAACCCCCATCATCATCATAATGTCGCATTCATGAGGTTTTAGTTTTAGTTTTAGAATTATAACATCAGAGATTGTCATTGCTCTAGATCTAGAATCTAGTCTAGATCTAGATCTAGTCCTACTTTATATTCAGGTCTCTGGAAAAGGAATAGAGCCATACATTAATAACTTCCCTGATGCTCAAAATAATTCTCATATGTTTGACACAGATTTAGGGAGTATTTAGTCTAGATCTAGATCTAGATCTAGATCTAGATCAAGAGTTGAATTTAGATCTAGATATCTAAATCTAGTTGAATTTAGAGAAATTCAAAATTTCCGGTAAATTTTTACTTATGCACCCACACACAGATGCATTGATTTGAGGGCTAAACTGCCATAATTTTTGCTGTAGAACACGTGCATGGCCACTTAAACCCTTGCAAATCAATTGTTTTCAAGTAAATATTAATCCTAATTGCCAAAACATCAAATCATTGTGAAGGGCCGCATGCCCCCCTGAAACCCCCCAGATTCTTTTTAGGAAACCCCCCATATTGTTAAATTTACTATTTTCAAACATCAATAACTCTATAACTATTGATTTGCATAAAAAATGAAGACCATATTCGTGTTCAGCATGCAAAATACTACTAGAAAAGAAGTATATATTATAAAACGTGAACATGAGACGGGTGCATAAGTAAAAAAAAAACCAAATTTCCAACCAACTGAAAAAGTTTAATGTGTCCCACGTGCTCATGACCTTATGCAGTTGTGAGTGCCGTAAAACACTTACAAATACAAAAAAGAGAGTTTAATTATTCTAAAGTCTTATAGGCATAGTAGCCGCTGCTGTTGCCAATTTTCACCCAAAATGTGGGTATGTTGGGGTAAAATCGGCTACGGGGCAACTTCGACAGCCTCAATCTAGACTTGGCTTTTGCAAATCATTTGACCTCTGTGTCAAGGAATTATCACACCCATGACTGATTTTATTCGTCGCACATAATTTTATTCTTAATTCTATTTAAAAATAAAATTTGTGCTTCGTCCTTCCTAGGCTTCCACCTTTGTCTATTTTTGGCAAAAATCTACAGAAAACACCCGTCCAAGTTCTGCGCTCTGTCGCCACATACTTTTCGCGGGAGGACTTCTGTTACGAGAGACCACTATGAGACAGAGCAGAATTGACGGCTAGGGGTAGGGGTTAGGCCTCTTCTTTATTGTGTTTGATGGGGTGGTCGCTCGTTACGGAAGTCCTTCCTTTTTCGTTCTTGAAGAAGGGCTTCACCCGTCTTTTACTTTCTTATTCAAGCATCTTTCCTTGCTTGAAAATTTTCATCAGTGAGCCTATGTAAAAGGAAACTTTGGTACCCTTAGGTTCATTTCAATCCGTCTTGAATTAGACATCGATTATATGAATTCAAGTGATTTATTTAAAATGGTGCGGTGAGTTGCGTGGCTGGTGCAAATTCGACAGGACGAAACAGGGCAACTTCGACAGGGAGTAGTGGGGCAATTTCAATCTGACTTAGTTAGATTCGTTCCAGACTGAGCCAGAATACCAGCTTTATAAGCAGAATTACCTTTAACCAACTGTCACTTTTCAGTTTAATCTTATTTGTATTATCATTTTCATCTCGGGTTGAAATCCTTGATCACAGCTCAGATACAAATTAGTAGAAAATTAAACTTAGACTGGAATACTCAACGGTTGCATGTAGGAGCTAAGTGTGTTTGTGTGTGTGTGTGTGTGTGTGTGTGTGTGTGTGTGTGTGTGTGTGTGTGTGCGAGAGAGAGAGAGAGGGAGAGAGAGTATGTGTGTGTGTGTCGTGTGTGTGAGTGCATGTCTTCGTGTGCGGGCGCTCGGAGATTGAGGGAGAAGGTGCGGTGGGGAAAGAGAAAGACCGGGAGGAAGAGAGAAATAGACAGAGAATTCAGCAGAGAGGAGTTGAGAGAGATAGAGAGACAGAGAGAGAAAGAGAGAGGGGGGGGGACAATAAGCTGAATAAGAACCTAATATTGTTAAAGATATCTGCCCAATGTCGATGTTGCCCACAGCACCTAGGCCCTGTCGAAATTGCCGATCGAATTTGCACCAACCCTTGTTAAAGTTGTCCCATGTGAGGGTATGCCACAAAATCGGTTGAAACTTCGGAATGCTTATAGAGTAAAAAACATAATAATCAAGAAGTAGAATGGCTACTTTACGCTACTAGACCAAGATGGTCAGTGTTTTTTTATAAAGGGGGAGCAGTATTGGTTACTTTTTGGCTCTACACAAACCTGTGGAAGTTGCCCATCGTACCCTTTGCATTTCTGCTTTTTTGTGTAGATGTACATGTTTACACCCAATTGCCTGTGTATAGGGGCTTTTACGTGTGGAGCTGCATAGATACACTACGACTTGCTGAGGAGTACAATCTTTTGGAAGAAGGGTGGATATGCTTTGGTATGCACTTGCAGGGTCCGTCCGCTTAATCATAACATCAAAGGTCAAGTAATGTTTTAGTATTCCAGGCTCACAGCCTTTACTCGGAACAAATTATCATGGACCAGCAAAGTGGGCAATTTATGTCCTGTCATGAGACATACAGTATTGAGTGTGTAAGACAGTACTGTAAGATGAACATGTGATTATTCTTGAATAATGATAATAGTTTATCTTATCACATGTCATTTTTTTTCTCTGTTCTTAGAAACTCCCCCACTTGCCTGGCAGTAAAGGGAAAGGAACCGAAGAACCCATACAGTTCCTTCCAGTCTTGCCATCCAAGAGGGCGAAACCAGCATGGCAGGTCAACCAGCCATCTTTCTTTTTGTCTGGTCGCAACAACGATGAACAACCAAATGGCATTGATCTCATCAGTGAACTTACTTCTCGTGAGTGGGCTAACTGTCATGTGATGGACTCATTGGAATGTGGGAATAGCCTAAAGGAACAAAATGTGTGATTACTTTTATAGATAGTACTCTATTAATTGTAGGTACACATATTAATGATCTTATTGATATTGTAACCAAACTTAGTTTCACTGTAGGCGCGTAAATGTGGCTTTACTATAAAGTCATATTTATACTTTGTCTTGATTACTATTACACTTTGTTAGATTCCCTTCCCATTCATGTTTTTCTAAATTTTTATGTCAGAATTTTTAAAGTTCAAAAGGCAGTTATCCTTGGTGAACTTGTTATTATTTATTTGAGTGAAAAGTGTTGTTATGTCTTCTTTTTTTTTTCTTTCCTTCCATATGTTCAAACAAATAAAGTTTCAAGGTCAAGTGCAGAGGTTGTTAAATATAGTCATATAGACTAGTGATTTGATTTCTTTTTTAGTCCGAGCAATCTGGATTCATATACTATTTTATCTCTGAAATTCTTGTAAAAGCTAAGTAACTGTTTCTAATTTCAGGGGAGCCAAAGAGACCACGAAAACACCCTGTGCGTCTGAAGCCAATTGATTCAAATCAGAAAAATGGGGATCTTGACACTTTCAAACAGCCGAAGAAAGACAGAGAGCAGTTTCGCAAGGCACTTGTGGAAATTATTATGTAAGTGCAGGTTGAATTCATTTTAAGTGGTTCTTATACAGTTCTAGAGCATTTCAGTGCTAGTAGCAGCTGTGGGATGAATGCCCATTATCTGTACATGTTTTTCTTTTTAAGATACAATGCACTTGCTGTGCTTTTAGTGATTGCAGTCTGTTGCTGTACTGATAAATATGTGTCACGACATGGTGGAAGTAGACGCTCGTCAATTTTTAGGCATATGGAGTTATTGGTATCATCTTAATGCTTGTTCATTTGTCTTGCTTTCAATGAAAAAATTCCCCATCTATCTTGAAAAGACGTGGAGAAATTTGCGATTGAATGAGGTGGGGTTGCCTGGTTTCAGAGGTAAAATTAGCTTGAAAATGGCCCCCAAAGTTTGGCGACTTCCAAAGTTTAAGAGTCTTTAGAAACTACAAATGTACATTTTTGTTCCTCAAATCAATAATTTGTCCGTAAAATCCATACAGAAATGTGTTTTTATATGGACCTATAGGTGTAGAGTCAAAAAACAGAAATTCGATAAAAATTGCCGAACTGATGAAAAATGCCAGTATCTTTGACTTCATTATTTTGACGAGCGCCTGATTTCACCATGATGCCTCACATATGGTATTCATTGTAGTAAGAAAAGCATTTTAGTGCAAAAGATCTTGGGCATTTCATTATTATCTTGATGGCTTACTCTTTTATAAGTACTGTATCAACATATATATGCACTTTGTAAAAAAAAAAGATCGTACATAACAAGATAGCCGTAGAAGTCCGCACATTTTTCAGATGGCGCTACAGTCTTTGTTTTGAAGCTCTCTTTCGTTTCTACAGAAGAAGAAAAGGAATAGCACAGTTGGTTAGTTTCGCTTTTATTGTTTTTCACACAAGTAGGGTAACTCTGTTCGCAAAGTCCGCACTTGTACGAAGAGGGCGCCACCGGATTTGGAGGACACTTTTTTAATTGGCTCAAAGAGAGGAGTGAACTATCTTGTTATGTACGATCTTTGGTAATACCAAAGATAGTACATAACAAGATGGGCCACTTCTCTCTTTGAGCCAATTAAAAAAGTGTCCTCAAAATTCGGTGGCGCCCTCTTCACAAAAGAGCACCTTTTGCGAACAGAGTTATCCTACTTGAGTTTAAAAAATCAAAGTGAAACTAGCAAGTTTTTGAATGAATTTCAGAAGAACGCTTTTTTAAAAATGGTTACGCTGACAAAAAACCTCTTCCGGAGGAAAGGGTGATTGTTTTCTTTGTTTAATTTGACTTTAGAATGAAAGGCGAGAGGTCATTAAAATTTTTTAAAAACTAAAACTCCGCACTGAACGAACCCGAACTGCTGATGAACAGCAGTCGATCTGCGCACGCAAGGAGGTGCTATTCCTATTCTTCTTCTGGAAAAAATGAAAGAGAGCTTCAAAACAGACTGCAGCGCCATCTGAAGCAAAGCGCATACTTCCTGCGGACACTTTTTTGGCTGAGTGGCCCATCTTGTTATTTATTATCTTTGGTAATACATATCTTTTTTTCAGGGAGGAGCAGGGTGCTTTACCAAAAAGCGCTGCAGAGACTGCTGAAAATGGGGAAATCCCTCAAGTGTCAAGAGCTGCTTCACCCACTGCTGCTGAAAAAGACATTTTGGTAAGTGAAAAAACTCGCCAGGTTTACAATAAAATGTGAAAATTGTTGTTTTTGAATGCTAAACTTATTTCTGTTCTGTTGTGCTTTCATTGTGGAGAGCATATTTGTAGCTACTTATTCTAGTTTTTGACCTACATAATCGTTTTCAGATACCTTTTTTCAGTTGAATCTTCCTCTTTGAAACGTCAGTTGTAAGTTTAGTTAGTAGCTCTATAAGGTTATTATTATTATATGGCATTTGGTGATAATAATAATAAATGACATTTATATAGTGCTCAACCCCGATGAAAGTACACAGGCTCTGAGCGCTTTACAGTACAGTGCAATGTAACAGTGACATAAAACGTTGTGTTCTGACTAAAAGAAAATTACTCCAAATATTCATCTTATTAATTTAAAAGCAGAAACGACTTCAGCTGACATTTGAATGAATCAAAAGATTTGATCTCTCTTTTAAGTACTTGGTAAAGCATTCCAGATCTTTGAACCTTGGTATTCAAAGGCCCTTTCACCCATTGTTACAAATTTCATAGATGATAAAATAAATTTCTTTTTGTCAGCTGATGACTTTAAACTGCGAGTTGAAATGTACAGTCTTAACAGATCTGATAAATATGATGGCGCATTATCATTCAAACATTTGTGACATATGGTGGCCAACTTGTACACAATTCTTTTTTCAACAGGAAGCCAATGCAATGTCCGTAAAAGAGGTTTAGCAGAGTCTCGCTTTCTTTTCCGTAAAACTAAACGTGCAGCATTGTTTTGGACAGTTTGAAATCTTTTAACTTTCTCCAGTGATATTCCTGATAACAAGGAGTTACAGTAATCGAGTTTTGATAAAATTAAGCTAGTTACTAGTAAAGCAGTATTGATAAGATAACGTATTTTACTAATTTTTCTTATTTCTAAATACATGCAGCTGATCAGATGATTTACCTCAGCCGACATTGACAAACTTTGCTTTGCCTGCCAGAATGGCTGCTGTTTTATCATCATACAACATCAATTTGTTTTTGTTTATCCAGATTTTCTCTGAGGCAATACAACTTTCAGCACAATGGAAAAGTTCATCTAAGTTGTTAAACTTTATTGAACCATAAATTTGGGTATCATCAACATAGAAATGATACTTGAAGTCATACTTAACTATTTCCTTGATAAATGGTTGAGTATAACTGGTGAACAAAACTGGACCGAGGACTACTGGTGACCCCATACTTAAGAGCATGATCTGATGACTTAAGCCCTTTAATAACATCAGACTGGTATTGATTTGACAGGTAATAACAAAACCAGCTAAGGACAGTCCCGGATAATCCAAGAGATGCTTCCAATCACTTCAATAAAATGTGATGGTCAATTGTAACAAAAGCTTCTGATAGATCTAAAAGGCTCAGCAAAACAACTTTTCCTGAATCACTGTCTGTAAGCACGTCATTCACAACTTTGAGAAGTGCTGTTTCTGTGCTGTGGTTACCTCGATAGGCAGACTGGAATGGCTCTAACAGATTGCCCTCTTGTTAGTGATGACGAAGCTGCTCGAAACATATGTGAGGCAGCGTGGTGGAATCAGGCTCTCGTCAATTTTTGGGCATGTAGAGTTATTGGTATAATCTTAAAGGTTGTTCACTTGTGTTTATTTTTTATGGAAAAAATATCCATTCCTCTTGAATACAATTCGAGATATTTACGAAAGAAAGAGGTGGGGTCGCCTGTTTTCAGAGGTAAAATTAGTGAGAAAATGACCGCCAAAGATTATAAGTTATTTCCTTTGCTTTAGAGTCCGTCGTAACTGAAAATTTACATTTTTTGCGCCTTTAATCAACATTTTTCTGAAAATTTCACACAGACATGAGTTTTTTAATGGGCATAAAAGGTGTTGAGCCAAAAAAAAAAAATTTGGTAAAAATTCACAAACCTGCGAAAAAATTCAAGTTTCTTCACTTTGATTATTTTGACGAGAGCCTGATTCCACCATGATGCCTCACATATAATGTTTATGTATATTTCAATACTGCAGTGAAGACAAAAAAAACACATTTGATGCAATCACAAAATTCTACGTGCCTTACAGAAAAACTGTATTCTTTCCCCAGCGCTATTATTACTACATCCACCATGGAATAGACACTGAACATGTGGCTCCCATGGAAGATGCGTGGCTGGAAAATGTGCTGAGTCTTATTTCCGACAACCTCAAGGTCAGATGTAGTTTGTTTGTTGGGTTTTGGTGGGTTTTTTCAAGGGTTTATTAATTTGTTGTGCTCATTATGTTATTGCTGACACATACACTTTAGTGGGTATTGTCTACATGTAGTAGAAAATTATTAAAACAGATTTCAGCTTATCTTTATGCCATTGTTGTAAGCATTTAAAGTTTAGTCTTATGTTAGGACTATTCTGTAGGCTACTATTGTAAGGGCAGTTTAGGTAACCGGACACATTCTAATGCACTTCTACACTAGCTACAAGAAATGCCTGAGTAAAATAAAAGCAACATGAAAGAAAGAGGGAAGGACTTGTTTTGAATAAACCCTATGTCCCCCCAGCAGATGTTACCGTAAATCCTTCTCCACACTGTACGCATGGCTGAGTGGTCAATGGTGTAAATCTAGCAGTCATCCCAAGGGAACTCAGATACATAGACCCTGTAGACTCGGATAGTCAGAACTAGTATACGAAAGGCTAGTCCTCCTTTATATGCAACAGTTTTTGCCATCCAAGTTTTCAGCTTCATAAACTTCCCTATAGCTCCACTCCTGTTTTACATATGTCACGATGTGGCAGAATCAGGCGCTCGTCGATTTTTGAGCATGTGAAGTTAATGATATCTGCTTTAAGCTTGTTTGTTTGTCTTGCTTTCGATGAAAAAAAAATCCATTTATCTTGGGTACAAGTCGAGAAATTGGCAATTGAAGGAGGTGGGGTCACCTGGTTTCAGAGGTAAAATTAGCAAGAAAATGGATGCCAAAGTTTAGTTATTTCCTTTGCTTGAGAGCCGGCAGTGAAAACTGAAAATTTACAATTTTAGTGCTTTTAATCAACGTTTTTTTCGTAAAAATCACACAGAAATGTGTTCGTTAATGGGCAGGAAAAGTGTTGCGCCAAAAAACAAAAGTTCAATAAAAATTCACAAACTTGCGGGATAATGCCAGTTTCTTCACTTTGATTATTTTGACGAGCGCCTGATTTCATCTCGCTGCCTCACATATTTATATATTATAAAGACCAAACTAGGTAGAAATGAGTGATCGGAGTAATAAACATACCGTTTGAATAGAGATAAAAGGATTGTCGGGGGTTTAGTAGATTTCTGTAAATAACCAAGTGATGTTGTGAACCAGCTGATGTGGCATGCTGTATACTAAAAGTTAAAAGATTCAAAGTTGGTGAAGGTGTAGAAAGAAGAAAATAGAGTGATGTGAAGAGCAAACTTATGAGCCATTGCCATTTAAAAGGAAAACTTGGTCAGTATAATATACTAAGACTGTTTTAGCACTTACCTATGAATTCCAGAGATCAGGAATTTTAAAGATAGTGAACAGATTTAAAGTATTTTTAGGAAAATAAGATATAAGTTTGATGGTGAAGACGGGATATACACAAAACAAAACAATCTCTCTCTTTTTCCCCCTAAACAGGAAGACCATGATGAGACTATTGACAACCTGTCGGATGAAATGAGGGAAGACTACCTCTTGAGTGTCAAGAAGGCAATTGGTAAGTGGGAAGGTCTATTCCTGCATTTTACATTTTGCCCACCATTTCTCATGTTGTGTTTGGTAAGCATTCTAGTTTTGGTGGATTTTATATTTTTAGTTAAGTTTTAATTGTTATTTTTTTTACAGTAACAATTTGTTTGCCATTGAATGATCAGTCAATAGATTCTTTTTTGTTGTTGTTGTTGTTTTTCAAGATCAATAAAAAAAAAATTAAAAAACTTGAACCCTTTATCTCTGAGGGAGGTAGACCCACTATGGCGGGACACTTATCATTAAATCAAAACAAGTGAAACTATTTCAATAGTTCTTCATCTAATGAATGAAATCCTGATAAAAGAGACCTGTTTTCGGCAATTGCCAAAAAATAATTTGATGTCGAAGTCGTCGTAAAGGAATGTCGTGCCTGAGCGGCTGTCAGTGGCTCACCAGTACAGCATTTCCAACCGCAGTGGGTGAAGCAGCTCTTGACACTTGAGGGATTTCCCCATTTTCAGCAGTCTCTGCAGCGCTTTTTGGTAAAGCACCCTGCTCAAGCATTCGAAGGGTGCATCAACGGCCAACTCTGCACCTTAAACAATCTCTCTTTTAGACATGGGTTCCGTGTTCTCTTGCGTTTTTGGATCTGATACAGAGAACCACATGCTAATCATGTCATGTCTTTTCCACCCCCCCCTTTTTTTCCCCCATGTTCTCCCCCCTCCCCATCCCCCCCCCCCTCCACATCCCTCTCGATTTTTCCCCCCCACCTTTTTCCTTCTCTTCCAATCCTCCCCCCTCCATTTTTCCCTCCCCATCCACACCCCTCCCTCATTTTTCCTCTTTTCCTGCCTCCCCCTCGCATCCCTCCCCCCTCCCCTCCCCTGCTCCCCGCCCTGATGGATGTCCAGTGGACTTTGTCCTCAAGGACCAGCGGCAGCTGGAGGAAGACCAAAAGGAGAAGCTGCCCCAGCACAGGGAGGAGATGGCCGTGGTGCCCAAGCCCTGGCACAAGTCTTACCTCTCCTCCCTCGACTTCACCGCGGAGCACCTGCACAACACCAACCCTTGCATGATGCAGGTCTTGGACCTCTGGCACATGAGCTTTGGGTGAGTTTCCTTCCTGGCCTGTCCCTGTTTCATGCTAACAACTCATTCTCTGTCCATTACCGATATATTGGACCATTTACGCTCATTGCCGATACATCGGAACAGGCTATACTCAAACTTTGTTTGGTTCGTAAATGCTTAATCCATAATTTTAAGTTTTAATCTAAACAAATCGCGAAAGTAAAATTTAACTTCCTGCAACGAAAAATAATGTCTATAACAACGTAAGTGGGTGGAAAGTTGAAATTGTTGGAGTATTTTGTGTGTTGGTGTTGGTGAAACCAGAACATGAAAGATGACCAATTTCTAGTTCTAGCTATGTTTCTGGGCCTGGTAGCAATTAATTACCCCCTTAGACCTATGACTTGTAAAACAGACGAGGGAATTCTTTAGCTTTAGATTCTGATTCAGGTGATTATTGCATCGAGAGTGAGAAGCGTGATAAGAAAGACATAATTCGTAGACAACAAAGAGGATAGTTGATGACAAGAGAGCAAATGGATATGCTGGGAAATGAAAGGGAAAGAAAGCCAAGAGAAGTGAAAATCAAGAGGATAATGACATAGATCTAGATTTAAATATAAATCTAGACCTGGACCTTCAAGTGCAACTCATGCCAATTCTGATTCATTACAACTTTTGGTATTGTCACAGTGATGTTAATAAAATCTGCTAGAATTTCACAATTTCATACCTTTTTGAATGAACATGCAGGGAATTGAATGTAACATTCATTTTATGGGTGTAGGAATGGGTTTTTTTAAAATATAAATTTCATTATTTATATTCAAAGCTTTAATTTAGTCCGTCTCTTTATTAGCTCTCCTGTGATGGACGTGTTCTTTGACAGGTATCAAAGGTAATAAGACGTAGCATTGAAATGTGTAAAAAAAAATTATTTCACTTTACTTATGAAAATCCTTCTCATACATACACACCTTACATTCACGATCGGGTGCTCAGAGAAAACCGGTGAAAGCTGGTATAAAAATGGGCAGAGAGTGAGTTAGTTAAAGACAAAATAGCACAGTCGAAATTGTCTAAGATTACCACCCTTTGTCAATGAGGGACATCGTTGTCTTAGACAGGGGGACATCTTACACAGTGTTGTTGTAATGTTTAAAAAATGCAGGGGGGGGGGATTGAAAGTAGCTATTTATTTGTGCAGGCGATTGTCTTATACAGGTGGCCATTAGAGCCGATTTGACTGTACATCCAAATGCCCCAGTGTCCTTCTTGTTGATGCTGTCATGTGATTGCCTCCATGCCATGCATTCACAAAGTGGTTAGCAGACAAAACATGTTTTCTTGTACGAGGTTTTGATTCAAACTGTTCTTCAACTAACAATGTTGGTAATTTCTTTTAGTATAGTTTATTTTCCTGTCAGAGCATAGGAGTTGTGCTAATCACACCCTGTTTTGTTTTTAAAGACTTTTCATAATTTTCACTGACGAAAGTTTATGTAATTTTAGGTAGACAGTTTTTTGGGGGGGGTTTTTGGGGTTGTTTTTTTAACACTAAGTAGCCAACTTGTTCTGGCCTGTTTGTCAGTGGTTTTTAATGGCCATAGTGTTTTTATTATGTGGACATAACACCCACTTCTTTACTGTCCTAGCTGGAGAAAAGGTGATGCTCAATCCCGCCATCAAGCTTTGGATCCAGTAAGAGAAAAAGCTATGGGAAACCCAAGTTATTCTATGACTTTGTCATTGTAAATCGGCCATTAAAGCAGGAACTTTGGCTTTGAAACTGAGCACCAAAGTTGGCCAGCAAGCCCACATGAATGTGTGTGTGTGTGTGAGCGGGGGTTAAAGTTTTAATGATTGTTCATGTTTTTTTACCTTTTTCCTCAGAAAACTGAGATTCATTGACATTGAAGAGTTCCACCAACGGGAAGAGTCTATGGAGCTTTCCACTTTCCAGAACCTGTGCATGCGCCACATTGATGCTGCTAAAGAAAGATTATTGAAAAAGTAAGTGCGAGATTACTGTTTCTAACTTCTTTCAGAGGCTTACACTGTCTTTTAAACTTTGTGAAAGGGTGGGAATTTGTAAGACAATGGTTAGGATGTGAAATAGCAAAGAAAGGGGAAAAAATTATCTCATTTTATATGGCTTTGGCATGGTATGGTCATGTATAGTCTGTAAGTAAAGCCTCCAAATTCACATTATATTCTGTTGGGTTTTTTGTTACTTGTCACCTTGTTTTTTAATTCAGTATGTCCAACCCTATTTATTGGGGTTTTTACCTCTATTGTCTCTCTCTTTAGATGCACTTTTCTTTGATGAAAACTCATATTCAAATGCATTCTCTCTATTTTCAAAGAGCCTGTCCTTATTGCATTTTTCCCCCTTAAAATGGTCACAAAATATATGGCTGTCAAATTTCCATGCCCAAATAACCTCCACTACCTATTGTATCTGACAGGTGGTTCCCTGAGGTGCAGAACATTTTCTACCAGGGCAACAAACGCAAGCAGGTGCCCAGCAACCAGGAACAAGAGAAACTGGAATCCTTTTTCAACTGCGCTGCCACACTGATGACCCAGAACCTACAAAATCTGACTTTGGACTCTATCGGAGACTACACCAACCTTCTTGTCCAGCCAGAGGTCAGTACTACATTGGGGGGCAGAGGGGAGAGAACACAGTTTTTAAACCATGTTGGACCACGTTCCCAGTGCACCAGGAATGCTCAAACCAACACTTGTGCCAAATTCCTGGTCAATGGGTAATTAATTAGGCAGCTCTCGCTCTCCACAACTCACCAAGGATGCCAGGTTGAGGGTGAAGTCTGGGTCAGAGCAGCTGGTCTGATGGGGATAAGAAAGAACTTTATCTGAACTCGGGATTTGAAAAGTATGTGAACTATGGTTATTGTTTTCAAGATATATAAGAATCGATATTCACTCATTCAATTACGCATTTATTCAATCATTTCTATAATTATTCTTTAATTTATTTGTTTTTTAACCTTTAATCCGTTATCATTCATTTATTTGTACAAAACACGTTGTTTCTGCAGCCACTCTTTGTGTTTCCATTATATCATTTGTTGTTTCGCAGTTTGAATTTGCTCTTCAGATTTTGCCATACTCAATTTCTCTTATCAAACGGCAATGTTATTCAACAATTTTGACTCTCTGTCTACAACAATTTTGACTCTCCCCTGACAGACATCAGTGCGTGCCTACGAGCACTCCGGTTTCAAACTGCGCCTGATCCTGGAAGAGTCTGAGATCAAGTTTGAGCCGACGTTCAGCGACTTTCAGATTGTGCTGCTGAACGTGTTTGACGTGATGATCAAGGCGTCCCGGGACGTGCCTCGAGTAGAAACCAAACTTTACTCGGAATGGGTCAGTGGATTTGCTGTTTATTGTGAACTATGGTTTATGAATTTTTTTTTTGGGTCCTTTTGCAGGCCTTGTCAACTTTCCTATTATAACTACAAAAATCAGAAGTGTTTTTTTAGGGACACAAAAGTCAATCTCTGAGCTTGTAAGAATTTTAGTAATCTGTTGGTTTCTCGTATTATGAGACAGGTGAGATTTTTTTCTCTTTTGTCATTGCTCTATTTTGTTGTGGTTAGATTCACACAAAGGACAAGATTTTGATCATGTGTCTTGCGTAAACATCATTATTGTAAACCATGGTTCATTTATATCATGAGGGTGACTGTGGCTTTTTGTGAGCGTAAGCAAATATTATATGTGTACATGTGTGTATATGTGTGTGTGGGGGAAAGGGTGTGTGAGAGAGAATACGTTTTTACATGTCAAAACTGCAGTGCTTTTTTGTCCTATCTCCATTTTTTTAACATTGAAAATGTGATTCTTCTTAAGCTCTCTTTGTTATGCCACTGTTTTCACTGTTATTAAAAATGGAGATGCCACAAGAAAGCTCTGAGATCGCGATGTGTGTGTGTGTGTGTGTGTGTGTGTGTGTGTGTGTGTGTGTGTGTGTGTGTGTGTGTGTGTTTTGAAAGAGAGAGTTTGAGATGACACGTGGGTGGTTGGCGGGAGTTGCTTAGGTGTGGTTTGCGCCTTCTTTTCTATCAAACATCCATCATTCTTATAACTCCTCCTTCTGTTTTGTTTTTTGACGTGTTGCGAGTGCCATAAATCTCTTGTTAAAAAAAAAAGAGGATGGTATAAGTACTGTTCCATATTTATTGGTCCATACATTCTTATGTTTGATTTCAATGCTTTTTTGCAGAGTGGCAACAAAGCTAAAGCGTTCTTGCGTCCGGTCATTCTGGATGAGATTGTGGATGTGCACAAGGTCAAGGTCACTGAGCTGGTGGAAAAGGAAAGCGTGGGCCCAACAGAGCACACAAAGATCTACGAGAAATATGCTGCTCTTATCTCCAAACAGGTGCGCTTGTACCCTGCAGTAGAACTTTTGTGGAATTTCGAATTATTCTATTTTTGCCCCAAAATAATTTGAAGCCAGTACTTCTCATGTGATCACATGTCTTCTTTGTTTTGAAATACAACTGTGATGAATTCGCATGAATGTCTTGCGGCTTACCAAATTGGATATATTGTTACTGGCTATAAATATTAAAAAACTGCTCTAAACTTGTAGTAAATAAAGATCTCCTCTGCAAAACCTTTATTTTGTCCAAATGAATAAGCTAGGAATGTGGTCTTAGGGTGGTATCACTGTAAGATCTTACATTCAACAAAATTGTCAAGTTTTGTCGGTGGCACTATAACCACTATGATACCATTCCTTGTTCAGCATGTTGTTGTTATTATCAACTGGTCTCATCTGTCACAGCAGAAGCCACAAGTCTTTGTAACCTTTAATTCTTTAAATTCTTCTTTTTCGTTGGAGATGTATTCTCCTCTGAGGATGTATTGGTCATCGTCAGACATTGACGGACAAGCTATTATTATTATTTTAATATCGATCCAGTCCTTGTTCACCCAGGTGGTGTCGGTAGCCTAGTGGTTAGGCTACCGGGCTTGTAATCGTGAGGTTGCGGGCTCTGAGGCGTTGTGTCCTTGGGTAAGGCATTTTATACGGAATTCCCATTTGGCTCGGTCCTTTCGGAGATGGATGTTAAACTCGGAAGTCCAACCTCTTAAATAACCTAATAGTGTAGATAGAGGCATTAAACCCATATCATTTCACCATTTTCTTGTTCACCCTAAGAGTCTTTGTGTTTGTGATCAGGCGGATGAGGACGTGTCAAAGTTCATCGCGGAAGAACACACATTTGAGGAGTATTCCAAGGAGTTGCTCAAGTATCACAAGCTTGTGGATGAGATCACCTACAACTCCATCAAGGTTTGCTCAGCATTCTCGTACATCATTCTTCTAGTCTCTACATTTCAATTACACAGTTCTATCTGACATTTTTGGCCGGTTTGAGTTTTTACAACCATGTGGTCCGAAAACAAATGTTCTATCTGCTCTATCAAAATCATAAGATTATTTGGAGTCGTTTTCAAGATGTTCAAAGAATAGCATTAGAAAAAGCTCAGCTTGTGAAAGTCAACATTTTTTATTTCAAATTTCTCAAAACTATGTACTGAGCAGATAGAACTCCATAATTCTTAGGTAGTGTATTATCACTGTACTGGCTTTTAGGTGTTGTATTTTTCTAATCACTAATGTTGTACTTGTTTCTGTGTTTACTGCTCCACAAGTTGTGATTTTGATACAATTCTTTTCATAACTGCGATAATGCCATATTGTCTGCAAGCTGTCCAAATGTTGTAGACCCAGAAGGAAAGCTTTTCAGGAAATAGAAAAAAAATGTCATTCTGTTAACCTACATTCTGTATCTTGTTTTTTCAACTTTTAGAATTTGAATTTTAACAAAACATTTCTTGAGCACATGCAACCAATACCACAGATGAAGAGACTAATGTTTTTTCATTTTAAAATTTATGACTTAATACATTGGAACAGCTGGCAGATGATATAAAGTAGATATTGTTTGATGGTCAGAAGTTTTTATCTCGCAATTAGTTTGTTCATTTCAGGGTAGATGACCTGGTGAGAGGAAAATTCCCCCTGTAAAGTCTCGTTCTGTTTGTACCACAAATTTTGCAGTTATTGTCTTCTTAAAAAATTGTAATCATCCCCATATATTTTGTCTCTGTGTGTAATTGCACATATGTCTTTGTTATGAGGCTGGCAATAAGTGAAAGAGAGAGAAAGAGAGAGAGAAAGATGTGTGTGAATAAAGTGGGCACTTTTTTTCCGGAGTAACTGAATCTGGTCAGAGCATAGTGTTGATTTCTTCCAGTGCAAAATTATTCAAGTCAAATTTATATTGTGTTAGCTTAGTCTAATGGGTGTATTTTCACCGGAGAATAGGCAAGAGATTCCTTAGTCTTTTAGAGTTTTTCCTGGATTCTGATTGGTGTTATCGTCTTGCAGGTGATCCGACTTGGTATGTTTGAGGTCCACTGCGACGAGCTGACCAGAGCACTGACTAAGAGAGCTGAAGCTCTGCGGAGCAGACTGCTCATCAAGATGAGTGAAGATCACCAAAAGCAGAACAAGCAGTGAGTGATTTACTTTATCTTTTATCAGATACACAGAGTATTAATGAAGATTCGGACAAAAGTCCAAAGTAACCCAGTTTTGTGTATAAATGTTTGTGTACCGATCTTTCGAGCTGTATTTATTTTTTTTAATTGTCAAGTTGTATAAAAGTTATTAGAAGCCCTATGCAACAAGTTTTGTTGACTAGTCTATTTGTTGTCTCTTTCTATTTACCAAGATGTGGACCAGATCAAATTAAGATAATTTATATTGTTTTTATTGTGTCATTTGAGAGTCCTGAAAATATCATGTCTCTCCCTAGTTTGCAAATGAAGAAGTTGACGCTTTTTCAACACTCATTGCTCTTGTGCACCAGTGTTTTGATTTGATGAAATTCTCCTTTCTACAAGTAAAGCTGAATCTGCGCTTCCGGCCACCCGTACGATTGTGATTTTTATGAATATTATAATCGCACTGTCCAAGACTGACACCTGCCTGAGACAACCACTTTTTCCCGCAACAAAGAATGGCCATCTTGGACAATTTTGACTGTATATAAATTAAAATCCAGTACTTTTTCACCTTAACAAATTCTCTGTTTCCAGTCTGGATGAGCCTTAAGCTCAGTTTGTATCGCGCTGGATTACAGAGTGGATGGTGCTGTTTCAAATCTCAGACGGGATGTTTTGAGCAGGGATTGTTTTGGATAGTTTGTATGGCTCAGTCCTACTGCAGATGGACGTTAAATTTTTTAACTTTACAGTGTTCAACACTTTGCCGCCTCATCTCCCCGATTGGCGATGTTTACCAGCCAGTTTCTTTCGATTTTCCCCAGAATATGGTGGCAAAGTGTTAATGGGGTGTTAAATTTGTACAAGTTTTATTTTTTTTCCCCGCTTCTAAGCTGGTTGAGTGGTATGCAGGGGTTCTGGTGTGGTTTGCTCCTTCTATCTTGTTATTATAATATCTATCATCCTTATCTCCCGTCCTTCTTTTCTTTGTTTGCTTCTCTCTAGAAACACTTAATCTTCAGCACTTGTGCAACCATTTGTGTTGCAAGTGCCGTAAAACACTCCCTAAAACTGAAACGAAACTTGCAGGCTGGTTGACCAGTATCGGGAGATCTCGGACAAGGCCCTGTCCACCCCCGAGAACACGGAGAAGCTGATGGAGCAGATGACCTACATCAACAAGTGTGAGTCAGAGACCATCTTCGTGCTGGAGAAACAGCTGATCCAGAGCAAGGACAGGCTCACCTTCCTCAGCGACCACGCCAACTTCTCGCCGGCCGAGACCAGGCTCAATGCTGATGTGAGTACTCTCAAACCTGCTCTAACAGCCACCATTCCTTGACAGTCACTTGTTCAAGACAATCACCTGTTCGAGAAAATCACATGTCCAAGACACCTGTTCAAGACAATCACTTGTCCAAGCAACCACTTCCTAACTTGCGTTTTTTTTATATTGTAAAGACATTGTCTCCCCCCGGGGCTGTACCACTGACTGTAGTGTCTTTAGGCCATTCCCAAAGGGGGAACATTTCTCATTCAAGCTTAGTAGAATTGTAAATGGGCTGACTCATGTCACGCTCATAACTGTGCCTGATCTACAACAGGGAACTGCTGCTTTTTCTTTCCTGATGCTTACTATTGTCATTTTCCTCTTCTTCTTTAGTATGTTTGTCACTCTCTTGTGACCTGCTATTTGCGGGGTGCCTTGATAGTCGAAGCAGACCTTGTGCTGTTGAAGCTAGAGAGGTGAGCAGTCTAAGTCTGATTCCCTGTAAAGACTTCTCTGTTGACACCCACCCCTTGGTGCTCATATGACCTTTTGCAGTTGCGAGCGCCGTAAAACCCTCTATTATAATAAAAAGACATTGTCCAAGAGATGTCCACCTGTCCAAGACAATCACTCCCCACTTCCCCTCTTGCTGGGTTTTTTATATGTGTCGCAATGCGGTGGGATCAGGTGCTCGTCAATTTTTTAGCACATGGTGTTATAGGTATCATTTTAAAGCTTGTTTATTTGTCTAGCTTTTGACGAAATATTGCCCCTCTATCTTCAAAAGTAGTTGAGATATTTGGAATTGAAGGAGATGGGGGAGGGAGGGGGGGGGGTAGTGAGAAAATGGCCACCAAAAGTTTGGTGACTTCCGAACTTGTGCGTGTAATGTGAATGTGTGTGTAATGTGAATGTGTGTGTGTGTGTGTATATGTGTGTGTGCATGTGTACATGCGTGCATGTGTCTGTGTGTGTGTGTGTGTGTGTGTGTGTGTGTGTGTGTGTGTATGTGTGTGCATGTATACATGCGTGCATGTGTGTGTGTTTCTGTATGTGTGTGTGTGTGTGTGTGTGTGTGTGTGTGTGTGTGTGTTCACCATATCGAAAAGCTATTTAATGACACTGTGCAATTTGTTTTGCAGGTATTCAAATGGAACCAGCGTATGCCTCTGGTCTTTGAGGAGTACAAACAACAGGCTAACGAGAAGAAAATGCAGTATGAAGAAGCCCTCAAGGTAGACTTAAACCTTGATTTGCTTGATAGAAGTATCTTCGAAAGCTTCATGAAGTGTTCTAAACATGTATCGCTGTGAACACTTCTCCAGCATATTTGAGACATGCTGACAAAATGAGTTACTTTTCTCAATCCACAAAGGAGATATTGGTCAACAATCGACACCAGGGTCGAATTTGTAGATTTTCTATTGATGCCTTTTATTATTTCATACTTATAAATTGTAAAAACTTTAACTATAAGCTTTATGTAGCACTTTCCATAGGGCTCGAATCCGAGAGGTAACTCATTTCGTCAGCACCCTTCATATGTACTGTATATTTGCCTTGGCATTGTGATTTACAGTCTTGCTGCTTACAAATATATGCTTCCTTGCCCGGCATAGCAAAAGAGAAGACTCTCACCAAATAGAAACCAAGTCCTTTATGTGCACAACGTTTCACTAATCAGATGGCATCATTTTCATAGGATTGGGCAAGGGGGAAAAAATATAGTCTTTTGCAACATTCCATGGGAAGTGGGATGGGGGGGGGGGGATGTTTAGTCTGGTTCTGCAAGATCACCGTTATGCTGCTTTTAATGCTTTCAAATTGAAAATTAATCACCCCAATACCTCTGTAATACAACTCAGACTTTTGTCTGTTTGGGGCCAAGTGAGTCATGGGTTCAGACTCAAAAATGTCAAACAAATGTCAGGTTAAGATGGGTGGTGACCAGCAATGGCATACTTAGAAAATTGTCTTGCATGGATGTAATATTGTGTGTTTGGTATTCTTTGCTTGTATCTTTGTGTGTTTAATTATGTATTTATGAATGTACATTTGCCATTGTTATCAGAATTTCCCCACGAAGATCATTTAAGTGTAATTTATATATGTATTATTATTTTACTAATCTATAATCACAAAGTTCTATGTGCTCAATACCTAGTTTTGAGAAATTTGACGTAAAAAACGTCGAGTATCACAATATGGTTAAACTTTTTCAAAGGCAATTCTGTGAATATCTTGATAACTATTACGAATAATCCTGCAATTTTGATAGAGCAGACAGAACATTTGGTTTCTGACCTCATGGTCTTAGTAATTCAAAACGGCCCAAAATATCAATAGTGCTTTGTAATTCTGAAGTAGCGATTTATTAAACATGGATGTCTCTCCATACATCCACAGTTGCGCAGAGAGCGGTTTGAGGAGGAGTTGGAGAGTTATGCCAAACAAGTGGAGGAGTTCCAGACTCTGGGAGACATGTCGGACATCAACCGCTACCTGAGGAAGGCCCAGACACTAGACAACAAACTGCAGTTGGCAGCTGACAAGGTGACCTGGGTTTCTTTAAATTTATGTCACCACTCGGTGGAATCAGGCGCTCGTCAATTGTTAGGCAGGTAGAGTTATAGGTATCATCATAAAGTTTGTTCATTTGCCTTGCTTTGAATGAAACAAAATACCCGTCTATCTTGAATAGAATTCGAGATATTTGCAATTGAAGGAGGTGGGGGCCACGTGGTTTCAAATGTAAAATTAGCGAGAAAATGGCCACCAGAATTTGGTGACTTCCATAGCTTGAGATCTTTGGAAAGTGAAAATTGACAATTTTTTATCCTTAATCAACGATTGTCAGTCAAATCTACACAGGAATGTGTTAATAAAAAGACGCTATTAAAGGTGTTGAGCTTAAAAACCAAAATTCTATAAAAATTGCCAAACCGGAGGAAAAATGGCAGTTTCTTCTATTTCATTATTTTGACAAGTGCCTGATTTTACAACGATGCCTCGCATTTAAGTGAGGGTTTTACAGCGCTTACTTACAACACAATTTCAGTCCCATCGACTGTTCTGAAGTTCTAGACAATTTTGAACTTTTATTTTATATGACTACTTTTAACGCTTTGCACCTTATGATTTTATTTTCACTTTCTTGATCTTCCCAGTATCTAACAGGAATTTTTTGCCAATGGTGAAGTTTATACAGTTCGGCTGATTTCATGACCCAAGGGTCAAATTTTAATTAAGTGATGACCATGGAGAGAAGAGAAGAAGGCGATGGCATCTGAGTGATGATGGAAGAGTAAAAGTGATGGACAAGAGTAAAAGTGATGGGCAAAGAGTAGTTGAATTGAAGATTGTTACAGTGGGGGAAAAGATGGGGAAAGGGATGTGGAGACGCAATGAAAGGATTGAATTGTATGAATCACAGACGAGTATTATTTACTTTAATTTTGATTGTGAGATCATTTTGTCACTCAGCGCATATTGTTGTTTTATTCTCTGGTAACACTAATGTTTCTCTACTATTCTTATCTGGCTTTTTTTTTCTTTCTCCCTCTGTTAATTGACTTTTCCTTTCATTTTTAATGTGTCTCCATACTATTTTTTAGTGGTTTTTCTCCTCTCTCTCTCTCTCTCTCTCTCTCTCTCTCTCTCTCTCTCTCTCTCTCTCTCTCTCTCTCATTCCCATTCTTTCTTTCATTCCCATTCTTTCTCTTTCCCTTTCTATCTCTCTGTTCCTCATTCCCTCCCCATTTCACTCATCTCTCTGTTAATTCCACTCCATTCCTCCCACCTCGTTTAGATTGATGCCTTCAATAACGAGGAAGAGGCGTTTGGCTGGGACACCACTTCCTACCCCCAGCGTACGTCCATCATGAATGGCCTGAAGCCCTACCACCAGCTCTATGAGCTCACAGTAGAGTTCAACAATAAGTACAAGTAAGACATTATGCAGTGACAACTTTATCAAAAACTAATTTTGCTGTACTTTTTTAGGGGCTTGGAGTCAGGCTGCGAGCCAGATATTTCTGAAAGTCGTCAGTATGGTTACTGGGTTGACAAGCTGTGAGTTTTGAATATGCGTTAACTCCTGTTCCCTTATCTGCAATCTGGGAACTTTTTCACAAATTAATTTTGTAGTACTTTTTCAGAGAAGAGGACAGTAAGTTGTCAGAATGATTCCTGAGTAGGCTTGCTATGAATTTTAAATATGGTATTCTAGTAAGTGTTTTTACAGCACTTGTAACACAATTAGATCATATAAATGCCAAAGATTAGAGGTGCTACAACAGAGTAACAAACACTAAAAAGAAGGAGAGATAAGGATGATAGATGGTTGATGATAGGAAAGAAGGAACAAACCTCACCAAAGGACCCACCAACCACCCTCTTAAATGTCAATCACTCCTGTTCCTTAATCTACTGTGTGGGGACATTTTCACAAATCAATTTTTCCATACTTGTTCAGAGCGGAGGAGGTTAGAGTGTGAGCCAAATATTTCAGAAAGTTGACAGAATGGAATCTGTTTTGATTAGCTGAGTGTTTTGAATATTATGTATCAACCCCTATTGTTTTATCTACAATGAAATGGGAGCACACAAAAGACTCAGATACCAGATACTTAAGCAATATATTTTTTATTTATAAAAGAATTGTTCTGCTGGTCCATCATTTACTTTGATTTAATATTTTATTTTTTTAAATATAGAACATAACCACCGTCTCCAAATTTAATTCTTTTTTTTTCCCAAAGAGAAACCAACAGTGATCTTACCCTGATGTGAACCCCCATTTTTTGTATAATGTTTTTCTCTTTTCCAATCCAAGTTTTACTTTTTTTTTTACCAACAGAGACTGGATGGATGGACCTATGAGCGGTGTCGACCCAGACGTGGTTGATCAGGACGTCGGTAATTTCTGGCGTTCTCTCTACAAACTGGAGAAAACCTTCGATAGTGTTGCCTCACCCAAGAAGATTGCCTCCAAGGTATGTTAGTCAGAAACAAACTTATTTTATTTCCTTTTTCCCCGTCACATCATCTCACTCATTTGATAATTGCCTACCTCATTTGTTGCTGTTTTTAGAAAAATAACAAAAACTGTTGCTCTTACGAGACAGACACATCACACAAAGTTGTTTTTTTGTGGTTGGTTTTATTAAAATCATAAATTTTCCCTAAGATCTTCACTGAAATCTTGGGAACTAATCAAATTATTCAGATGTGGCCATAGCTCAGTGTGCCACAAAAATAACTTGGGCAATTGTCAATGAGTATGATGGTATTGTGTGCTTGTGTCAATGTCTGTGCTGTTGCTCTGTGTTCTGTGCTCCTCTACGGCCTCAAAACTTGGAAGACAACAAAAACGGTAGTGAATAAAGTCCAGACTTTCGTCAATAGATGTATGAGGAGTATCCTAAGAATTAAGTGGCAGGATAGAATAAGAAATGAAGAGCTGTTGGAAAGGACAGGACAAAAGGATATAGAAGTAGAAATAGGACTAAGAAAGTGGCAATGGATGGAACACACCCTCAGAAAGCCCTGCGGAAGATCCACAAGACAGTCGCTGCAGGGGAACCCACAAGAGCACGAGGCAGGGGTAGGCCACAAGAAACATGGAGATGTGCGGAAAGGGACATGAGAGAGAAAAAGTTCAATTGGAATGAGCTTGGAAGGATGGCCCAGGACAAAGATAAATGGAAGGAGCTTGTATGTGGCCTACACCCTGCCAGGGGGAAAGGCATTGATAATGTTAGTGTGTGGTGACGTTCGTGGGGGACGGAAAATTGAGCAGGTTTTATGCTGTTATGCAACAGCTTACTCCATAAGCCGCCTTTCCTATGTACGGTATACTGCACAGGTATCGTGTCGTATCGATTATGTGGTCTGTAGTCTAATCAGAATCCCGACCTCAAACATGTATAGCTGATTGAGTGTTCACTAAAGCCCGTTGAAGACCTCTCTACCAGGTTGGGTGTCGGAGAGGTACTTTGTTTAGCTGAAAATAGTCCGGTGAGAACCAGAAAATAAGTAAATATATTAGCGGCCTTGTATAAACGTGTATGACGGAAGTAATTTTTTGTGCTCAAAACTTAACATCGTGGTTTTCATGACAGAGAAAGGACGAAAAAATATATATACTATGAAATGAAACAACAGTCTTGATAACTGGCTAATTGAAGAGGTGTACTGCTTAAACTCATACTTACCAAAGTTCAAGTCAATACTATGTCAAATACCTGTACAACCTAAGAATACCTGCGCAATTTTCCACTGCCCGAGTTACACTGCTCATCGAGTCGCTCAGTCCATCTGCCTGTTTCTGTTCCCTTCCTTGCCATTATGTGTGAGGGAAGAGTGTGTGTGTATGGGTGTGCACATATTATGCATGCGTACGCATGTGTATGTATGTGTGTGTTTGTGTACGTGTTAAAACACCAAACCAATGTGCCAGGGTCTGGACAACAAATATGTATTTTATCTTATCTATCTTATCTTATAAATGCTTTCCTACTGACTGCTCTTGCTGACAAACTGAAGTCTTGCTGGAAACTTTAAAATAAAATTTATGTAAAGACGATTATATTATGCTTTTTTGAGCATGATGGTTTTATTTTCTCTGCAAATGAGTTAGGTTAAGAAACTTAGGTCCTGAATGTCACAGAAAATTTATTTCTCCAGACTGCTCCATAATTCTCTTTTCCCTCTCCAGGTCCATATGTACATTGTTAGCTTAGTTAGAATGATTTACAATGCCAGAATATGGGAAACTTCAAATATCTTTTGAGAAAGGACAGTCTTTTGCACATTTTTATACCTTACCTCATCAAATGAAAGGGCTATGATTTAGAAAAACATGTGGGTGTTTGGTGGGTGTTTTGGTGTGGTCTGCTCTTTCCTTTCTGTCAAATATCAATTGTTCTGACCTCTGCTCCTTCCTTTGTTTGCATGTTAATCTCTAGTAACACCTCTAATCTTTGGCACTCTTATGACATAATTGCGTTGGAAGCGCCTGAAAACTCATTTTGAAACTAAAACTAAACTGGAACAACCTTGATAGAGTAATGTTTGCAGACTTGTTCTCCAACTGAAAATTTCCATTTCTCAGGTCAAGAGCAAAGTGGAAGAGTTCAAGGAGCATATGCCTCTGATCCAGACACTTTTCAACCCTGGTCTTCGCGACCGCCATTGGCAGCAGATTTCTGAAATCGTGGGCTACAATCTCCGACCGGATGACTCTTACTGCCTCAGTAAGCTCGTGGACATGAACCTTGAGCCATACGTGACCAAGTTCGAGTCCATTTCTGAGTCTGCTAGCAAAGAGTTCTCACTGGAGAAGGCCATGGAAAAGATGAAGGAGGAGTGGTCCGATGTAAGTTCTAGGCAGGATGCTCAGTGTAGTTGCCATGCTGTTTGTCAAAATGAGGCTTAAGATTATTTTGAATTCTCGTATTGCCCAAAAATTTCCAATTTTAATTGATGTCGATACTTTCACATGTGAAAGTGAATACATGATATGCTCAAACAATGAAAAGAAGATATTCTGTACCGTCAAAATTGTCCAAGATTCCCATTTGCTGTTGAGGAGAAAAGTGGCTGATTTAGACAGATGGACATCTTGGACAGTGTCAGTATATATTTTTTTTATGCAAGTGGGTGGGGGGTGGGTGTTCAAGTTTAATTCCTAATCAATACATATTGGTCATTTCAAAGACAGACCCCATCCTGTGAAGGTTTTTATCAGGAAAACATGTAGATCTTCATTCAATATAACGGCCTGAATGAAAGCTATAGATTTGGAAAGAAGACATAGTGAGTGTGAAACGAAAGATGCTACTTCTGTGCATGAAAGTTTGTGGCATGTAAGCGCCCCACTACACCCCTGCCCCACACCCCGTGTGCACAACACATCCCCAGTTGGTGGAACAGTGATCTCTACTAGACTGACTGATGTTGAAATGGTGTCTTGAGGAAAGTCCAGTTGTGGAACATTTTGATCCCTTGAGTAATGTAAAGTAATTGATGTCTTACCTTGACTCTTGCTAGGACCCACCGGAAACTGAGAGAGTGAGTTTGAACATATTCTGAATGTTATGTTCACAATCATAATGTATTCATCTTTGACCTCTCACGTCAGTCATCTTCTGTTTACTAGTCTTTTTGCTTTTTTATTCTCAATACTTCATCGTATTCAAAGGATATAAATATATTGTCTTGGAGGAGCAGCAAAGTTCATGTCCTCACTCGGTTGTGTTCAAGGTTTTTATCTGTATAAGGACTGGATCGATAACAACATTTGTATAAGGGGCAATGTCAAATTTTGAAGAATAATATGGCATATTTTTATCTAAACCCCTCTTATTTGGTTTGTAGGAATGTAATCATGTCCAGAGAGAAGGGTTGAAATTATGTCAGAAGAAAAAAAAAATTGAAATGTAAAGAAAGAGACTCGGGTGTAATTTAAAGGTTCTCACTTTACAGGCAAATTGATGTTCAGTGCTTAGAGGCTGTAAGAGTTTGTACATCAACAAAGTGTACCACATCTTTTTTTACATTGCTGTTTTATCCCCAGCAGCTCTAGGTCTTAACAGTTTTCATGTAAGAGATGAAATTAACTCCTTGAAGATGCAAAAAATGTATCGTTTATTTTTGTGAACTATGTTAATTCTTTTCATGTATTTGATATTGTTATAGTTTGTTTTTTTATTCCTCCATGACAACCATCATCATTATCAATATTATAATGAATGTCAAGACTCATTCCTATCATCACTCTCTGACTATCACTGTTATCTCTATAAACATTTATTATCTCACAGTTCTATTTCTATCACAAAACATATTCAGTGTATTTGAGATATAAATTTGACATTTATCACGGATCATTACAAAATACAGCTTTCACATTCTGATGTCAAAGGAAGTTTTCGAAAATTGCCAGTGTGAGCCGTCATGATATTGCAAAATGTCCAGAGGTCTGGCCTTTGGCTTTGACGTCAGAAGGTGTATTGAATCATCACAGAAGTGTCTGTATTCCACAGCGTGAAAAGTATTATGCTGTATTTCTTTTGGCATGGTTTCTTCATCCACTTTGAACAACCACTCTGCCGTTAAAAAAATGGAACTGGATACACATAAAAGGGATTCTCTTTGTGATATACAGGACACTGAAAGCATCAGGGAAAATTACCATTTGTCTAAAACCCTTGACATTTGAACTGAATATAGAACTCATCAAGTCTTTAAATTTTCTACCCATATATACCCAGAAGACAACAATAATCTTGTAAGAGCATTGCTAATTTCTGAGCGACTGATGTTTATTGGTAGTTTTCTTTTCCTGTTTTGGCTGTTATGCTCTTTTACTTAAAATAGGCACTGGCGTCTGTGGTGTAGCTGTTAGGCGTTTTGCTGTCGCTCACAGGAGACCTGAGTTCAATTCCTAAGTAGAAAGAATTTTAATGAAGTATTTCAGTTTGTCTGCTGGGATGGTGTATCCACCTCAGCTCGGGTTGGTCCTGACAGGCAAGGTCGAAGCCCAGGCTCCTAAATTATTTGAATTATGTCAATTGGAGTGTGAAAACACCTACATTTGAAATTAAATTTTGATAAAACAAGCTACATAATTAAGCATATGCTCACATTAACTCACTGCCACACCCACTTCAGAAAATACGTTCTTGGACATAATCACAGACAAATTCAAAAAGAAAAAAAGAAACATGAATAACACACACATTCATACACACACACAGACTCACACAAACTCACTCACACACTCTCTCTCTCTCACACACACACACACACTCACACATACACACATTCACACGCACTCACACACACACACACTCACGTGTATGCTCAGACACATATCAACATCCACTTGTGCACATATACACAAACACAAACACACACTCACAAACACAAACCCCCCCACACACACACGTACTTGCACATACGAGGAGCATACCAAAAGTTTTTTACCTGACCATGAAGGAATAAAGGTAGAAAGCTGAAATTTGGGGTGAAAGCCAACAATTATCTTCCTAGAATGTTTGTAAATTTGGGGGAATTTCAGACTACTGGTTTTACCACCAGCGCACTGTGAGTGAATGGGGGTAGGTTGTTCACCAGTTTCAACATAAAAATGGAGAAAATTGAGCACAGAACAGTAAAGAAGTATTTGTTCTTGCAAGGCAAGCAACTACAGGATATTTTTATGGAGATGCATGTCGTATATGGAACTGATTGCCCATTCTATGTTGTGATAAAATTTTGGGGTAAAAAAGTGATGTTGAGGTCAGAGAAGCAGTAGAAGGCTGGTTTTCTGACTTAGAGAGGGTCGTCTATTCTCAAGGTCTTTTCAAGGTCATACACAGATGGCAAACATGTATAACTCTGGGAGGTAACTACAAAAAGAATGACTAAGCTTAGTACAAAATTTCAACTTTCTACCTTTATTCCTTCATGGTCAGGTAAAAAACTTTTGGTATGCCCCTCGTACACACACAAACATTCTCACACGTGTTTTGATTGTTCCAAACTTGCCCCCTCACCTACTCTTGTGACCTGACATTGTCTCTCATGTTATGTTTCTCTTCAGGTGTGAGCATGATTTTCCCCTTTTTCCGTCTACCCTCTCCGTGTTAAATGATGCCGCATATATTTTGTTCTCCTTGAATTGACATATTATTATACATTGTATCCATTTTTACTCCCTGCTGACTTAACCATGTATGCTGAAGATCAGTGATGTGACTTTCATTTTTCCAGGTTCCCTGATCACGCCTGCATGAATATGCATGCTGTAGTCTACGTGATAAAATTTTATTTTATGAGAATCTTCCGCCCTTAAGATAAATAAGAAACTTTTATTTGACTTTGGACTCTAAAAGTAACTAAGTCTTTTACATACCGAACAAAACTTTCTTTGATACAAACATGTCCTCATAATTATTGTACCTTGAGCTTTTGATATTCATCATTATCTTTAAGTACAAGATCTGGAACAGACATCAGCGATCATGGTTCTACTTTCATTTCTCTGCTCAGATGCTTTTAAAAAAAAAAAAAACCCTCTCTCTCTCTCTCTCTCTCTCTCTCTCTCTCTCTCTCTCTCTCTCTCTCTCTCTCTCTCTCTCTCTCTCT